GGTGCGATGTGATGATTCAATTTTTCCCTTGGCTTTGTGGGTTATATGGTCGTCCTTTTACTCGAATTATTCCCCTTTTTGTGCACAAATCATTGACGTGGCCCAAGAACTCTTTGCCGTTGTCACTTTGTAAAACCTTGGGCTGGCCTTCGCTCATCTAGTATTTCCGCAACCCTTTTACTATTTTTTGATGGCAACGGGAAGAGCCACACGTACCTACTAAAGACATCCATAACACTTAGAATGTACTTAAAGGTTTCCATCTGACTCGAATTTGTCATCTTCGCCATATTCACTAGGTCAATTTGATGAATCTTCTGCACATCACCCGCTATGACAGGTGTTAATGGGGCTTTGTTTGTAAAGACCGGTGACAGTTTTTGGTGAATTGTCATGGTCTTCAAGCGTTTACTGGTATCTTTTCGAGATACCCCACGAAACTGCTCACCCAGTCGTTTTGCAACCTTCCTGATACTTCCTCCTTTACTGGTAGTTTATCCTTTCTTGATAACCCGATGGACTTCTCCCTCCTTTAGAAGCATGGTGTTGCTAATGAATATACGTTGTTCTGTTACTCCCCTGACTGTGTTGTCGCGTATGTGTACATTGACGGTAAGCGAGACGCAATCTTCTCAACTGCCTCCATGCGGCCTGTCCATTTGAGTCATCTAATCGTTTGGTTACTCGAATGCCATTAAGAGTCACTGGGATCAGTGTCATATTTAACATTACGAAGCCATAGCCTCCAATTTGCACTTTTCGACGGACTTCCTTCACACAATGTGGAATTTTACTCATAGTTTAATAACGGCGCTTATTCAGCCCAACCTTTGGCAAAAATCTTTGGAATGGTGGTTTTTTGTATTTCTATGCTTGTTTTTAGGGGGGTGAGTATTGTAATATTAATGAAATATTTGTCACGTATTAAGATGAGAGGACCAAGGTGTGAGGTAAGACAAAGTCTAATGTGTTCTTGATCTCAGTAATTTGATGAAATGGTGTTGTTTTCTCATGATATGCAATTTAAATTGGGAATCGGCATTGTCACAATTTTCAATTCCCCCAACTGGTAATGTTTATTTTTTTTTCGAAAAAGATAGATATAAATTACCCGTGAGGGCTTGATGTCTTTCTTCGCTGACGCTACGTATTTTGCTCCCCATTCCTGCACTTGGGTGCCACAACAATGCCAGAAGAATCATCAAGGTCACGATGGTTTAAGCCCTGCACCAGTAAAAATATGGCAATATTCTCAAATTAAAAGAAAAGAATGTGATGCCAACACATTTTTAAACAATTATTTAATGACGAGCAGTGGCTTACTTCATACATAGCAATCTATTGCAATTGTCTTTTTGCAAATGTTACGTGAACTTGCAGGAATTGATATACATTATCGTTCAACTTCAAAGAATGCGAAATTTTCGTTTGGATGTCAACTAAATGATTTTTGTATAGCAAGTATCATGTGATAACAAGAACGTTTGATGTCAACTTGACGGACAAAAGTACCAAATGTTATTACACTTCAATCACTCTCTAATTTCCAAAGAAAGAAAATTTCATTTCTCCTCTAGTGAAAATTTATTCCTGAACAGTGAAACTCAAGGGACAAGACGATTTCGGGTGAAATTTAATTACGCCAACATATCAGGAATCCTGTCAAATTTGAAGGATCCCCTTTTCCGAACAGTTTTAGTCTTAATGGGCAGTGAATTTCTCAGTCGATATCGTTTAGTTTCTTATTTCACTCTTCGGAAAAATAACACCATGGCAGACATGAAAACTTATTAAGTTAGCTTTGTGTGCACAAACGTTTACTTATATTTAACTGGGATATAGGCCTAGCTACATAATTTCTGGAATTAGTCATATGGAAGTAACATTTCATGCAAACTAGTTAATGCAAACATCATGCAAGCGAAAGAGCACATGGAACGATTGTTAATACAGACCTGTTCATTTTTGTTGTGTTGCTAAAGTTAAATGTTGTGTGATGTGGATCAAACACTTCGTACAAATATCAAAAAATGATGTGAAACAAACACTTCTTGCAAACACCAAAGGCGTACAAACTGAATCTGAACAAATACGAATGCACAGCCCAAGGATGAAGTGATGAAACGATGTACACTGTAAGTTATAGTAACAACTTGCAAACTGAAGGATGAGAGAATAGCTAACCTTGCGGGCGTACTGTACAAGCTCTGGAAAAGAGAATTGGGGGAAAGCACTTAAATAACAGCAACGTTGCATTAACGCCCCGTCCACTGATCCTCACAGAGAATCCAAATGACATATTTTTGTCAATATCAACCCTCTCCCACTGATCCATCAGCCAGCCTCGCCAGATATATCTTGCGTTGTCCGTTCATGAAACAGCCGTGGTTTTGTTTTCGTAAGAAAGACAGTGTTGATTGATTAAAGCATCCACTGCAGTGGGTGGCAAGGCCTGTACAAAGAGGTATCAGTTTTACGCAGGCTAAAAAATATGGAACCATACTGGAATTCTTGTTTTGGGGGGTTTTTTTTGGGGGGGGTTGCTAAATACACTGCCCAGCTCATTGCCAGTCTGAAGGGTGACTCTATACAGGCTAAAAGAGTCATGAGAGACCAGACAGCCCGGTCCTTAAATAAAGCTATAGGTGTCTGTTTTCAGAGCCGCCGGCATCACTGTTGAAGTCTATATCATTATTTGTCTTGACGAAAATTTTCAGTTAAATACATTTAAGACTTTTTTAGAGACTTACGCTCGTTCTCGTGGGGGATGCCATCTTCAAGTATCATGGGGAGAACCTTCCATAACCCGTTTTCTGCTGCTTGAGTGAAGCTGAATTAGACCTCTATAACATCAGGCAACTGTGGCTACTGACACCAAAGCTAACATCACAGGTGGGAATCTTGGAAAAGTCACTGTCACGCCCAGACAGGGGTGTGGGTGTGTGTGTACCCGGGGTACATTTAGTTTAATACGAGGCTCTTTACTGTTGCAGGCAAATGCATGTGCGTTCATTTATGACTACCGATACATGTGCACCCGGCCAACATGGGCAAAGAATTGTTCAGTATGTTTAACTTCAACCAAAAACACACATGCGGATACACAAAATGAAAACTTATTCCATCCTCCCTGTGGAAGAATAACATATATCATTAAGTGAATTAGAAACAAAAACCATATACAAAAGCAAGCCGGCCCTTGCGTCACCAAGCTCCGGATACAGAGTTTTAAAACCCCCGCTCTGTGGGAAACACCAGCCTAATGGGCCCACGGGCGAGTTATGTGTTGACAAGCGTTACCCAACCACTATAGTGACCTTGCTTTAGACCAGTGATGACTTCCTCTAGGTAAGGATTGTACCCTGAATAATAAGCACATTACAAATTTTCTGGGAAATTCAGTTTTGCACAGACACTGGCATCTATACCAGCGACATCAACCTAATAATCTCTCCATGGTGGTCACAGAAAAGTATTCAAATAGATCCGCAAACAGACCGCTCGTCCATGACACTGTAAAATCAAACAACAAGAAACGAGTGAAGTGGCCCTGTTAATGCCGATAACAAATCCCATCCACTCCTTGCTAAAAAAAATCCAATCCACGGCATCAATATTTTTGGAATAATCCTGAAACCCCCCTGTTAGCATAAGGATAAAATCGACCGATTATTCCTTAAAACTTTCTTGCACAGACCGGTTTCCCTTATTTTCTCAGCCATGGAAACATTTTACGTAACCTTAGGAAACAGACCTCATGTTTGGCGGCCGAACTCAACTTCATCAAACTTGAGACGTAGGCATGTATGTTTCAGAGGGAAATTATTAACTGCGCATGTCCCGTTTTTTAGGTCATTTGCCTGCGTAATGAGGGCCATGGGAATTTGTGCCAGGCGAACAGCTGCTTCATTTCATGAAATTTAGGCCTACGTCGTATTTTAATTTTTTGGAAATAAAAATTCCTGCCCAAAATATTTCAAAGTGAGAGAAGGCCCTTTCCTATTACGTGTTTGGTGAAAATTAAATTGAGTTGAATTGAATTGAATTGATTTTTGTGACAGCGGTAGTTTGTTTACGTTTCAATGCGATTTCTGAAGACTCGAAACAAAGAATTCGAAGTTTTCCTGAAGTTTTCAAAAGTGGGCTGTGGTGTAGAAAGGTCGACAGGGTTTAGATTTGCTGACGGTTTGACACTAGCCTTTTTGTTTCTTTTCCTGACTAGAAGCGTTTGAATATCGACCTAACTCGGCACCTATTCCGTTCATTCCGCATTAAATCTTACCGTCTTGGGGGCGTAAGAATTCAGTGACTTGCGAACGGAATACAAATTCCAAAAGTACAGTAAGTTAACATGAAGTTCACTTTTGTAACCACGAGGTATATCTGTCATAAAATGCAAGGAAAATGTTGAAATTCACGGTACATATTCTGAGTTTTACATGTACATTGTAGTGCGTGAGCATGAATCACACGAACATGTACTTTATGTACACTTGCTCCAACGGTCGAAAATTTCCTTGCACCTGTATGTGCACGTCTACGCCGCAGTAACAGCCCGCAGTATACTGGATCGGTTTTGAGCATGTAAGGCACAAACAGATCGCCCTGCGCAGAAGTATCTAATATAACTCATGGAATTCGAACCAAATATATATAGCTGCATGTACATAGAACTGATTGTACCGTGTGGTTGAGATTCTGGCCTGTCGTATGCAGTAACTCACTGTTTTTGGAAAACCTTTAAATTCAGAAATTTTGTGACCAAGTGATCGATTGAAAATGGAAATAATTTATCATCTTAGCAACAACTTTGAGGCTAAATTTCAAACTTATGTCGCATTTCTTTTCCCGATTCTATAGTGCTCTATTCGATTTAAGCCTTCTAAGGCACATACAAAGAGTTCAAATCCGTTTGTTAACTTTGTGCAAAGAAGTCTTCAAAACGAGAAGGCTCAACAGAGGATTGGCAAGTTGCTAAGGACATTTCCGTATGGTTCACGAGGTTCCGGTCAAGTAACCGTCTCCCACGGTCGAAGTCGTTAAATTCCACACGTTGAATGGGGGTGGAACATACGTGTAGGGCGACGTGTTACGCCCCTTCCCTTTACACCCACGCACACACAATTTTCCTGCAACTGGGATCCCCTATTGTCCCTCTTTTGTTTTACTTTAACTCTTTAAAAGACCACCCATATGTTTTGTGCACAATCCCCTATGTGAATCGGGGACCTTACTGGCTTCTATTGTTCAGGGTCCCCAACTGAATGCAAATACAAACTCACACTTACTCATAAAAGTAAAGCTTTTTCTTATGAATTGCAACTACTATCTGCATGTATGTACATTTCCATGAAACACATTACGAGGAATTATGCACAAAGTAATCCGCACATTATCATTTTGACCCAGAATAAGTAAACTTTTGTTTCATTGTTTCATCTTCAATTAGCAACATGGCCCAACACAAAGCCGTTGTGGAAAAAAAACAGCATACATTTAAATACCTGCAAGGAGTTTTTAAAAAGGAAAGCTTTTGAAAACAAAGAAAAATACGTTAGAATTTAGTAATTAACAATGGAATCCTGCGGACACAATGGGGCGGACATATTGGGCCCGCGGACACAATGGGGCGGACATAATGGGCCTGTGGACACAATGGGGCGGACATAATGGGCCAGAAAAAGTCAACGTCTCAAACAGACTGTCATATACTCGACGGCTGCATGGTTGTAAATATCGAGATTATTCCTTGTAGGTGACACTGTACTCTAACCCTTTGGTGTTGAATTTTCTCATGTGGACTTCCTTGACCATCGTTACTTGGTAGAGATCAGTCACATCCCCTACGGACTCGACACCCGTGATCTTCTGACGTTTCGGAAGATGTTCGTCTTCAACGGACACCCTGTAACCAATCTGCGCTTCACGGTGTTGGGTACAAAAGTGCCTGATGTAGTTGTCTCGCCTGGTAAACACTTTCCCGAACAACTTTTTTGAACAACTGTTATCAAACAAAAAGGATGCGAAGTGAGTAAACGGCATATGAAGTAAAAATGTATTTGAAATATATAATAGGATGGTTAATCCAAAAGATGAAATGTTAATTAATACATAATTTCTTCGTATACATGTATAGGCCTGCGTTCACTTACATCTGTTTGCCAGCCTAAATTATTCCATATACCACCCTAGGGGTTTTCAGTGTTTTATACCACCCTAGGGGTTTTCAGTGTTTTACTGACATGAAGAAACTAAATGTCTTTATTATACCTTTTAGAAAAGCTGAAAGATTGGGTGTAAGGAAAGCTTTTGTTCTACAATAGACCGATATAGTGTGATTGATTGTTTGCTTTGGTTTTTTGGTTCAACTGTTTGGTTTTTCTGCTCTTTACAACGAACATTATAGTCATCCATAAGAAAAAAAAGATACCTTTTCTCTTTGAGTTTAACTTGATGTAAGTTGCTCCTTTGTCTGCTCCTCTTGTTGTATGCCATGTTGCACTTGCTGCAAGTGTTGATGTCTGCAATAGAGATAAAAATGATTATTTCCGATATGTATGTAACACCTGGGCATAAATGAAATGCACGTACACTTTTGCCAAAGATGAACTCTGCAGTGTGACCAGCCCTGCGGTGGGGAACAAACTGAGGCCGTGTTCGCGATTTGCAAATTTTTATAAAGATATTGCGGACGTCGTAATTTATCATGCTGAAATAATCCGTGCTTATGATTGGTTAAAAACATAATACAGGATTATGATTGGCTGAGAGCTATCCCGCCACCAAAAACATATATGACATCAACTTTCCAGTTACAGCCCCAATGGAGAACGTGTCCCGACACGTTCGAAGAATAGCATTAAAACGAGAGAACTTTGAAAGTGTCATTTTTCAGTCTGATTGGTTGAGAGTTACACCGGATTAGTGACGTCATCTTTCAGGATATAGCCTAAAGGGAAAACGTGTCTGGGCATGTTGAAGTACAATGTGAAAATGAACAACTTAGAAGTAATCAGAGTCTACTCCTTTCTGGTTGAGAGCTACAGTCACGCCATGGACGTGCGTTATGCTTCAGGATTTATCAACAAAAGGAAAATGTTCGTGTCTGGACATGATGAAGTGAAAACAACAATATAAATTTCTGAGCAGATGCTAAAGCGTTTATGCTACTTGTTTATATTTTACATGTATCTTGACGTAACATGTGGATAAAATGTCTTTACACGTCGATTACAACAGTACTCAGCTACATGTGTGTATTTCATAATGCGCAGATAAACATGCAGATCACTTGCGACCTTATAAGTTGCCGTTGTTCTCTTTTTCGTGGCGTTGGGCTCGTTTGATATAAAATAAATGACTTATATTGAGCTTGACTGATGTGTCAATTAATTATATTCCTCTCACTACGTAGCAGGTTTGACGTTAAAGATTTAATACCGTACTTGTTAGCAATTATGACGGTGTAATATGTAAATTCTAAATTGCACAAACTGACTCGCTACACACGTTCGGGCACAACCCGAATTTATGAATGTCGGATCAATAACATTTATTTTCTCTCTCTAGGGGCTATTGCAATGCATTGCGCAATAAACAAAATCTTAATTGCTTTCGCGTCCCGTTTTTACCTTTCGAACGTACCACACGTACATCTACATACAAATGTAGTTGTAACAAAATAGTTGTGTTCATGGTACGCGTTCTTTCGTTCCCCAAGGTATAGGCCTAGATTGCGTGTAAAACTAAAAATCCGCTTGGCTTTGATTTTTTATTTATTTCATTTTATTTTGTTTTATCTCATTTTACTGAAATAAAATATGGAACAATTTATGACGATTATGACGCAAGTGACGATTTCAAACGCAAATGATCCCCTCATAGTGCAACAATGATTGTTGAGGCTGTAGGAGACATTGCATGGGAAACTTAAAAGCCTTTGGTTTTAACTCAATGAGACTTGTGTTCCTCAAACCTGAATTGTTCTTTAATATCCTATTCACATGGTGCGCCTTCATTACTCAAGACGTGTTAACTTAATAAAGATCCCTATATGCAGAGAAATCTGCCTGAAGATTTATGAAAAGAAAGAAAAAATAGTTTTGTGTAATCCGAAAGTTTCTACTTAAAAGAAAGAATAACCCCCGGGAAAGCATTAAACAGAAGAAATGTATATTTATAAGTTAAATGAAAACTTTAGGAATAATAAAGGTCCAGGACAGATATCGCCAGCGATCAAGATGTTTGTGGAACGGTACGCCTATCATAATTATGCAGAAACTCTATCTTGTCTCCAACATTCAGGCTACAGATACTTTTAAAAGCTTACATGGGGAATGAGTGCCCGTTGACAAAAATGAAAGTAAAATCTGTGTACGAATCCGTCTCCCAGTCACCCAGAGCGAATTATGAGTGACGCTTGTGCATCGTTAAATTGAATGATACTGTTGCTAATTTGAATCTACGATTCGGCGGCTACAAATGAAATTGAAATGCGCAAAGTTTCAAAAATGAAACATGGGAATAACAGGCTTTGAGTAATCGGTCGAATATGAATGCACGTTCACAAATTTGAATACTGTCGGCCGGGAAAACCTATTAGAGTTCACAGGATAAAGGTTAAAACTTTTCATTAGTAAGGTTAGTTTTATTTTGCATGTTTTAACAAATTTTACAAATTTAATGGATTATTTGTCACTTACTTTTTTACATTTTTGTTTTCCTGGCGTTGTTATATTTGAAACACAATTTAATATCTTTGGGTTTTTACTTTTTATGAATTACAACTTTCTTTTACGTTTAGTTTATTTTATTCTCATCTTGGCTTAATGACCAATTTACAAGAATCTAAAAATTTGCATTAGGTACGCAAAAACGATAACAAATTCAATAAAAACAAGGTCATTTGTTAAACACCAACCTTTGTACGTGAATATTAAAACATCAGAATTAAATCTTACACTGTATAACATAAAATGATAAAACAAAGTTCATTCTTCAACTTCTAATAACACACTTTACTTTTCTGTGTTAATCTTTCTCTTATATATATTTTACTTGCATTCTACAGTTCTACTTTATATTGCCCGTTCACAACATTTTAACATTTTTATATTATTTCCTTTTTTGTACAGGTACATTGTTTTGTTTACGTATATCGTTTTGTTATGATTTCTAGTGATATAATTTATATTTAACATGTGAGACATTTTATGAGTTTTAACTCTTGTAGCTTGTTTTGTGTGCACATTTATATGTTTACTTTCACAGTGTACAGAATTTTGCATTGTTCTTACAAGGTTACATAACTGTCAATCCAAACTCAAAAACGCAGAAGCAATATATGCTGCAGGGTAAATGACCTCTTTTTTATCTTTACACGTGTTGCCTTTTTCTTGCTTCCCAACTTCAGCGTACAACGGTGACAAGTTTTAATGACAATTTTCAAGATGTATCTTCATATTCCTCGTAATTATCAAACAACACTATCGGCCATTTTTCAAGTCTTTAATAAATTTTTTTATAGATTAGACTACAGAAATTATCTCTCAGATGGACCACCACCGTCAACCGAAGAAAAACAGGTGTTCATTTGGGATACTGTGTCTTCTACCGTGAAACCCATTACTATGGGCCAAGCGAGCCTTGAATTTGACCGACTTTACGCAAAGCAAGCGTTTGAGTCAGTAAGTGTCTCTGGATCGTCTGGTAGTATCGTCTTAGAACCCAGTTACTACGGTATCGACTGGTTTGATTTTATTTTAAACGCCATCCCGGGTGCTATTTTTAAAGTTTACGAAGAGTCCCAAACAGTTGCCCTGGTCCTTTTTGACCCTTTTTTAAAACTAAAACTAAACAAACGCGTGGGTCAATTGCTCGGCCTGCCCCAAGACGAACTACAAAACTTGGTTGTACACAAAGGCAACTACAACATCGAACGCATTAAATATCTGTTTATACACTGCGAGCAGCTCGACCCAGATTATAATTTTTATGATGGGAAGTCTTCAACGGTACTCAGCACCAGAGACACAGGCCTGTGCAATTTAGAGGTCAACCCCACCTGTAAAAGGCTTATAGACCGAAACATAGACAAACTCACCTTTTCTTTAAAAAACGACCTAGGTAGGTTAGTAAGTGGTAAAGGAGATGGAATTTTGCTTGAGGTGAATATTTTTTAAAACTCTTAATTATAAAAGATGACGACTAACGTATACCCGGATTTAAGTAAACACCCGGAGTTGACTTTAAACTCGGCTGAACAAGTGGAAACCAAGATATACAGACTCAGGAAGATCGAAGAAATTAAATCTCAAATCCAAAGAGAACGCGACGCGAGGGAAAATAGTTACAAAAAGATCAAACGACTTTTAACCGCGCTCGGATACGTGGAGTACGGCGTGGGAGCAATTGGAGCCACATCGGCAGCCGTCGGCATTCCCGCCATTTTGGGAGTCGTTACCAGACCCGTCGGACTTGTGATGGAAGGCATCGCTATCGGTGTGTTTGGCACTTACGCGATATTGAAATACACCTCCCGTAGACTCACCTACAAAACTAAAAAACACGACCAAATTCGAATGTTGGCAGACGCTTAATTAAACACCATCGAGGAATATGTATCTCACGCGATTGAAGACGGTGACATCTCTCAGGAGGAATTTGTCCTTATTTTATCCGAGCTGAAAAAGTTCAACGAAATGAAAGAAAAGATCAGATCGAATTCTTCTACAAAATTGGAAGAAACTAAAGAAACTTCTAATTAAGAATTCGAACGCCAAGTCAACGAAAAAGCAGAAGCGCTAGCCAACGAATGGGCGGCGGTTTTAAAAAAAGATCTTATGATAAAACTTGGCGAATAAGTTTAACAAAGTCGGTTAAGTTTGAAGAAAAGCCAGAATCTCCACCCGCTTATCGAGAAGCGAGCAAAACGAGCGAAGCGAGCATTATTCCGATCAACCCGACCATTTTCACCATTTTCATTTTCAGTTTCTTCAACACGTTTGCCAGGTTCCACAGTTGACGTTTGATTCGATCGGTAATTCCACCTTTGGAAAGAGGAGCCGGCGTTGGTTTAGGTGCGGGTGTTGGTTTGCTCGCTCCGCTCGCTCCGGCACTCCTAACGCTAGCCACGATGCTACTAACGATGGTACTCACGGCTAACCCAAAAGCCGTTAAAATACTTACGATCGTGACGCCTTGCTCTCTAAATAAAATATTAATTCTCTCGCGTAGCGTTAAATCTTTACCTAGAGCTGTTTTCTTTTAACGTTTCAAATTGGTTTCTAAATCCCATGTTTAAATTTTTTCGCTGGGTATTCAATACTGCTAACTCATCGTTAAAATCTCCAAGAATTTTAAGCTCTGATTCTTTTTGTTCTCGCGTGATATCTGGTTCCTTCAATGCATCTTCAGTTGTCTGAATATTTTCTTTTACTCTTGCAATCTTAGATTCTACAAGTTTTAATTGGCCTCTTATTGTTTGTAAGCTTTGGTCGAGTCCTCTAATCTCTCTGAGAGTAAATTCTGAATTTGCATCTTCTGGGTTTAAGTTTCTAGACTGTTGCGCTATTTCTTGAAGTTGATCGAGTGCTTCATCTAATTCATCTACAGATCCGTCTTCATTTGTGATC